GAAATAATGACAATGAAGAAGTGGAGTGGTCAGAATTTGACAATCCTCCAATTATTGAATCATTTTTAGGTCAAAGTTGCGTTGTTTTGAAACCAAATAGTTAAATTGAAGTGGTTCAGCTATTTTTGCTATTCGGGTCCCAGCACCTCTTCATGAGGGGTGATTTTTTCCATAAATTTCACGTATGTAAAAAGTGGTTTATATATCTAATGTACGTTAAATTTTAACTTTCCGTAGGTTAGTTATAACTAACCTATATATAATATAGTAATGGGCGGAAAATCACGAATGAAAATTATTCCATTTTTCTACGGTTTTTAGGTTTCTGAACATTTTGGCATACCTCAGAAAAAATGGATGTGTCTGTTTGTGTGCGTGTGTTTTTGGTGGCCGCATTTTTTCGTTCACGTTTTCGGGCGCACGGATCAACCGATTTGAATGGTTCAAAAAACATTTGATTCCTATTGATAGGGAGATGTGCTCATTAGTTTTTGGCAATCGCAGGTCCAGCCGTTACGGAGATACAGAGCAAAAAGTGCAGAAAATAGAAATCGAGTTTTTGAGAGAACGGAGCATCCGATTTGAATGATCTAAAAAACATTAAATTAGTAATGATTGGAAGAAGTGGTGATTAGTTTTTGGCAAAGGCAGGTTCAGCCATTTCAAAGATACGGAGCTAAATGTACACAAAATGGCAGTTTTTGAGAGAAATAAGCATCCGAATTGAATGATTCAAAAAACATTCTGATTGTATTGACATAACAATTGCTTTAGGAAAAAAATATTTCATTCAATACTCAATATTCCTCGAACATTTCGTTATGGTACAGGAAGTTTCAGCAATTTGCCTTAAGGCACGATGCCATACGCCACTAGTTTTTGTTAGTTTTATGTTTAATTATGCATTAATTAAATAATTTTTTTATAGTTCAAACCAACCAGACGGTTTTTTTTTTTAAAAAAAGAGTTATAAAAAAATATGTTCAATGTGACAGTCAGTTGTGTTCATGCGAGGCGACGGAAAGAGCACTCGTGTCGAGCAAGCGATTTGCCCGCTACACATATCAGTTTGGTCTGATGAGTATTTTTACGGGGCCCGCCTATAGTGTGTTAATTGTGTTACAATTTTGTCGGGTTCCGTACCAAAATTGTTAATTTTTAAAGTTTATTATATGGTTCAAGCAAACTTTAAAATTTTCAGAAAATTTTTTTTTTTCAAAATTTAAAAAAATATATGAAGTTTAATACTTCAAATATAAATTTTAAATTTACAACTCAGTTTGAAAATGTATATATTCTAAATGCATTATTCTTATTGTAAGAAATTTCTCAGATGGATTTATTCGGCACCTATTTCTAATGTAAACTTTCTCAAGTGTTTTGAGCGATGAAATCGTCACTGTATAATTTATGAACGATAAAATATATAGTGCTTATAATTATCTATTTGAAAATATTTAAAACAATTGTTATTAATTATTGATCAATATTTATTGATCTGGTAAGGAAAGTTTCAGCAATTTGCCTTAAGGTGCGACGCCATGCACCACTATAGTTAATTATTATAAAGAAAAAACCATACTGAAAAGTTCACATTCAATGTATTGATCACATTATTGAAAAAAATTACATTTAAACAATTTCAAAATTCCAAAAACTAACAAAAAATAAAAAGTTTACAAAACAATTCAGAAAGTCCCCGTAGACATTTTCAAGCGTAGATTACATTTGGCTTATATAATAGGAAGATGCAAAATTTATGTTAGTTATGCCAGTTGTTAGCTTTATTTATTAAATAGGTTAAAAGTGCTGGTATGCTATTATTGCTTGAGGCAAATTGCCGGAAATTTGCTTCTATAAACCAATATAAACTAAACGCTATATGATTTATTAAATAGATTTAAAGTGCTGGATATGGTATGGTATCATTCATTGAGGCCAGTTGCTGGAAATATGTTTCTACAAATCAATATAAAATAAATGAATAATTTATGCGTTTTTTGAGTTCTGATCTTGCTTAAAAAATATGGATTTTTTAAAAAAAAATTTCTTCAAGCATAATCGAAAATGTATTGTTAATACGTTTATAATCAAATCCTTCATTAACTAAAAAGCTTTTATAGATGGGTTTTATAGCACGAAACCCAGAATACGGGGAATTGTATTAAAAATAACTAGTGGTATATGGCATCGTGCCTTAAGGCAAATTGCTGGAACTTCCCGCACCGTTATGAAATATTCGAGGAATAGTAAATGCTTTCTAATAGATCATTATAAATACTGTAACTTATATAAGTTTACAGAAAAGTAAATAAACAAAACTCAATAAATCAAAATGAAGGACTAATTAATATTTATAAGAATTATATAAACTGAATATCAAAGTTAAAGCAGAATTAGAATTAAAATTAAAATCCGAATTATTTTCGATATTCAGAAAATCGTCGACAAAAAAAATTTTATTCGCTCACACGCACACACATACATGCGTTTTTTTTTTTCGAAGGTATGCCAGAATGTTAAGAAATCTTTGAAACGTAAAGATATATAATAATTTTCATTGTCGATTTTTCTTTAACGACTCTTCTTTTTTATGTGTAGACTATATTTATTAGATATGTACACCTAAGAGCATTGTCGTATGTATGTGAAGCATCAATGCCTAAGAAGGGCGATTTTCAGTTGAGATTATATTTGTGATCTATAATTTCCAGTGGAAATTCGATATAATACTGCTTGATATCATAGCCGATTGAAGTTGGAAGTGAACCCGAGATTAGTTTGTCCCAGCTTGCGTTCTCAATCTTTACCATTACCCCACAAAAGGGCTTATAACAAGTTCTATAAATGTTAATGCTTTTCCTAATATTTTAATATTAATTTTTATTGTCAACCTAGTGCCCTTTAATTCCCGATACTATAGAGCAGAATGTATACCAAAGTTAATTTTTCTAGCTACTATTCAGAGGTAACAAGGACCCTTCAACGATAAACAATCAATCAACTGAACTAATTTCACGTACATATTATAAAGCATTGAATCATATAAAAGCTTTTTATCAATTAATAAGTCTACACACGTGTCCTTCAGTGAACCAGTTTTTAACTAGATATTTTACAATGTAGTTTATGAATATTATATACAATTATTTAAGTTGTAAATATTTTAACAATTAATTGTTATAATTGAAAATATGAAGTAATAATGGCACTTTTTTCTAGTGTTGCTAGGTCATAATTTTTTCAAAAATAATTTATCACATCAGTCACTAAGGTTTTCTGCAACTTAAAATTTTCTAAATATTTACATTGCGATTTGTGATTCAAAAGCACCACTTGTTAATTCTCTTTTGTCTATTTATAGTCTTATCAGTCAGTAGATTAAGTTTTTTGGAGGTTTTCGAATTATATATCTTCTATTTATTTTAGATATCTATAATGCAAATAGCACAAAATACATAAACAAATTTTGCTTCTTAAGTTAAACGGGTGAATTTAATTTAAGATTTTTCATTATTTATTGGTAATGGGCCGAAAATCGAAAATAAAAATATTAGCATATCTTCACATTTCAGAGGTTTCTGATTATTTTGGCATACCTCAGAAAAAATGGATGTGTGTTTTGTGTGTCTGCATTATTTCGTTCACGTTTTCTGGCGCACGGATCAACTGATTTGAATTATTCAAATTTTGCATTTGATTCCTATTGATAGGGAGAAGTGCTGATTAGTTTTTGGCAAAGGCAGGTCCAGTCCTTTCGGAGATATCAAACTTAGAGTGGTGAAAATCTAAATCTAGTTTTTGAGAGACCGGAGTATCCAATTTGATTAATAATTAAAAAGATTAACGAAGAAGTGGTGGCTAGTTTTTGGTAAAGGCAGGTCCAGCTATTTCGAAGATACAGAGATAAATGTACAAAAAGTGGCAGTTTTTGAGAGAACTAAGCATCTGATTTGAATGATTCAAAAAACTTTCTGCTTATTTTAACAAATTTTTTTCCAAAAAAAATTTTTTTTTGAATATCGAAAATAATTCAGATTTTAATTTTAATTCTGGCTACAGTTCTAAAACTCAGTTAATATAATTTTATATAATTTCTATAAATATTAGACAATGTAACAGTATTTATAATAATCTATTTGAAATCATTTTATATTCCTCGAACATTTCGTTACGCTGCGGGTAGTTTCAGCAATTTGCCTTAAGGCACGATGCCATACACTACTAGTTTTTGTTTTTAGTTTATTACCCGCGTATGTTTAAAGTTTTTGCTTTTAACTTAGATTTATAGTGTGAATATGTATATATGAAATATATAGATAATAAAGAAAGAAAGTTATAAAAATTTCAACAAATTGAGAATGATACTTTTGATATCCTTGTGTTTTAAGATCTTCTGATCATTTTCGCATACATTGAAAAGTGTTGGAATATTTCATGCGTGCGTGTAGTATGTATTGTATGTGTTTTCATCTAAACCTGCTACTTAGTTGCGAGAAGGGTTAAAACGTTCTGTAGTTTTGTCGAAAAATGTTGAAAATATGTATTTAACATACGCACATTTAATTATTTTACAGATACTTTTAAAAAGTGCTTAAAATGCTTTTTACTAATTGTAAGTTGTGAATTGAGTATTTATTACAATACTGTAAGTACATTTACTCTAAGCAAATCATGTAAAACTTAGTTAGAAATTTATTGACTAGTTTGAAAAGATATTTGGTTTATTCCGTACCAATGCAAGACATTCTACTCGTATATAGTTAAAATTGAAATTGAATGTTTTGTGAAATGTATCTAATCCATTAATACATAAATTCATACAAGCATACACGCAAACATACACACTAATGTATGCATTAATTGTAAGGTGTGCCATGAACAGGAAATATAAAGAATAAAGATGTATCATTTTCAATATTTTGGTGATATCAACAATCTCTTTTACAAGAAATCAAATCATTATTTCATTAAATACATTTTTATTGTTTGTATTTTAGTGGAAAAGAAGGAGAAGAAACAAAAGAAACCATTTTCGCAAACACTCAAAGATGTTATATATAGAAGAGTTCATATACTGTCCTGGTTACCGTCATATGACCGGGAAGCCGCGGTTTCGGACATGATAGCTGGTATCACTATAGGCTTAACGCTGATACCTCAGAGCATTGCATACGCGGCCCTGGCTGGCCTTACTGCCCAGTATGGACTTTACTCGGCATTTATGGGTATGCATATATACTTTTTTATTTACATATGTATTTCAGTCTAACAGCTTAGAAATACACATTACCTAATACCTTAAGCCTGCATTAACTTAATCTAACACTTTTTATTAAGAGGAACAAAACATTTTATTGAGGACCCAATAAACTTAGCGTTCTAGACTGTCTCCACAGTTAACTCCTTTTTTTATCTTTTTATTCGATCAATTGTTTTCAACCAGTCTAGAATTCTCTTATCACTCTTAGCGCCGAAAATATCTTCTGCTGCAGACTTGTTCTATCCAGCACCGCGCATCTTTCTCTCCGGTGTTATACTGTGGCCTTCTCCTGCCCTGAGGCCAGAAGAACACATCCAGTCCTCGCTACTACTCTCTGATCGCAACTCCAGCCTTTGAAGTACTCCGGCAGTTCTTTTGTTCTATCGCTCCATACTTTCTATTGTATCTAGATCTTTCCAATGTTCAATGTTCAATTCAATTTTCCAATGTGTTCCCAAATTTGATCTGAACAATACTTGCAGTACTAGAAGAAAAAACGATAGGCTTTCGAATAACACTAATAAGAAAGTAGTCGAACGAAACGCACTACCCGAAAACATTAATTGAAAATTTATTAACTTCCCGTAGGGTAAGTTATTGTAATGGGCCGAAAATCGGAATTGAAAATTTTTACATTTCTCGACGTTTTGAAGGTTTCTGAACGTTTTGGCATACCTCAGAAAAAATGGATGTGTGTGTGTGTGTGTGTGTGTGTATGTGTGTGTGTGTGTGTATGTATGTGTGGATACAAATTTCCAGTCACGTTTTAGGGCGCACGGATCAACCGATTTGAATGGTTCAAAAAACATTCGATTTCTATTGATAGGGAAAAGAGCTGATTAGTTTTTGGCAAAGGTAGGTCCAGCCGTTTCGGAGATACGGAGCAAAGAGTGCAGAAAATAGAAATCGAATTTTTGAGCGAACGGAGTATCCGATTTGAATGATCTAAAAAACATTCAATTAGTAATGATTGGGAGAAGAGTTTATTAGTCTTTGGCAAAGGCAGGCCCAGCCATTTCGAAGATACGGAGCTAAATATGTAAAAAATGGCAGTTTTTGAGAGAACTAAGCGTCCGATTTAAATGATTCAAAGAACTTTCTGCTTGTCTTAACAAAATAATTGATTTTGGAAAAAAAAAATTTGTTCCATTTTTTTTTTTTTTTGTTTTTAGTATTTTGTATATCGAAAATATTTCAGATTTTATTTTTAATTCTGACTATAGTTCTAATATACTTCACAAATAATTTCAACTCTGCAATTCGGTTTATATAATTCTTATAAATATTAGACAATGTTACAATATTTATAATAATCTATTTGAAAACATTCAGTATTCCTCGAACATTTCGTTACGGTGCGGGAAGTTCCAGCAATTTGCCTTAAGGCACGATGCCATAATTGCCTCAAGACAGAATTCCACTTACAGCTAGTTTTATCCTTTTTAGCTAATAAGAAATGATTATTTGGCATCAATTGTTCTACATTATATGGTCTAAGCCAATGTGAGTAGAATTACGTAATTTTTTTTCGATATCTTTTATGGTTACGCCAAAAAGTGAGTTTGAAAAAGGGGTCACTTTGGCATATTTTCAATGATATCTCGGCCAGAGGTCAGTTATAAAGTTGAAGATTGGTATATCGGATTTTTTTAAGAAAATCTTCAAAATGGCGTATAAATTATTTATATATCAGGGTGGGGCCAATTATGTATGGCAACGCGCCCATACATAATTGGTCCCATACCCCCCTTGTGCGTCGTGACTATTATGTACTCGACTGACAGATCCTTGCAACTGTCAGAATATTCTGGCTGTTTACATATACTTTCTGAATAGTTAAAAGAATACACCCTCAAAATTTGAGCCATTTGGGAGCAAGTTATAGAAACTTTTTTTTTGACATTTTCAAAAATTTAAGGGATGATGACGCAACCGCCATATGCTGGCCAGAATAGTACTTTCTTAATGGACCGATAATAAAATATCATTTAAAACATTTCTAGTTTGTTTGTTTTCTTTGTGAAAACAAGTTAATCAAATAGCTCGCTGGCTCGTTGACTATATTATGTATATATATCTACGTCTATATATATTTTAGGTGCATTTTTATACGTCATCTTTGGTACCATTAAAGAAGTATCTTTAGGACCAACAAGTTTAGTTGCTCTGATGGTTTTGGAATATTGTCATGAAAAACCAGTCGAATATGTAGTTTTACTAGGCTTTTTAGCTGGTTGCATTGAACTTATGATGGGATTACTGAAACTTGGCAAGTAATTTTTTTTAAATATTATTTGTAGTAAATTTTTAATTCATATTATCACTAATTCATTATCTTGTAATGTTGAAATTAACAACAAATTTAATTCACATTATTTTCGTAATTTAAATGATTTATTATTTCAAATTTCAGAATGAAAATTGATATATTAACTATATATGTAATTCTTCTTACTTGATTTCTTCAAATCTTATTTAGTATAGTTCATTATTGCAAGTTTATAAATTGTACTTTTATTATCAATTATATTATTAATAAATTGTTAAAAATTTGAATTGTTTCTAATAATTCAATTCGAAGATTATTTAAAATTAGTGAAAATTTGTATTTATTACTTATGTAATTTTTTTACTCAACAGGATTTTTAGTCGATTTCATAAGTGCCCCAATCGTATCGGGTTTTACATCCGCGATGTCGTTAATAATTATTTGTGCGCAGGCAAAAGGTTTGCTAGGGCTGCATTATACAGGACATGGATTTGTGGATACATTGATGCAGCTAATACAAAGGATATCAAATGCGAGATTAGCTGATTCTATACTTGCCTTATGCTGTATAGTTTTTCTTTTAACATTAAGGGTAAGATATTATGAACAAAATACACGCACATACATGTATGTATATATATACGAGGTGTGTTCAAAAAGTACCCGGAATTACTAATAATTAAATTTCGCGGGTCTGGAGTGTCTGATTGTCAAAAATTTTTTTTTATTGTGTTGGTATACATGCCCCTAAAGTATGATGAAATTTTCAGCTATATTCACTGTTTACTTTGTCTGTGGTAGTCGCTAAGGTTCGACGTGTTTTTCTGAGCTCGGCGATTTTTACAATGGAAGAATTGAAAAGTCAAAGAATTTGTATAAATATTTATTACACACTTTATTAAATTTTGCGTAAAAAATGAAATAAAGTGTTGCAAAGTGCAAAAATTCACCAGATATGGCTCCGTGTGACTTTTTCCTATTCCCAAAGTTGAAGAGACCCATGAAAGGACGGCGGTTTTCCTCGATTGAAGAAAATCGCTGAGAGTGCTCAAGGACATATCAAAAAGTGAATATCAAGGGTGCTTCGAAAATTGGAAAAAACGCTGGCATAAGTGTATTATATCTGGGGGGGACTACTTTGAAGGGGACCACATTAATGTAGACGAATAAATAAATATTTTTTTGAAAAAACGAAAATTCCGGGTACTTTTTGAACAGACCTCGTATATATATATATATATATACATATATATATATATATATATATATATATACATATAGACCCAAAGTTCGGGTCAAATTTTGAAAAATTCTGTTTTGGCTCATTTAGAGCGTCCCAATAGTGTCCAAATGTATGACCGACCCCCAGTAACTTTGGAAGGCCGATCTTTTAAAATGATATGATATCACATGTTTAAAATTATATGCATAAAATTAAATTTAAATATACAATTCAAAGTTTATTAATTTTAGCAAATAAAAGATTTGAAAGTCTCCAGTCCTGTTTTAAAAAGAACCTTATGGTTTATTTCAACTGGAAGAAATGCCTTGATCGTTTTAATTACAGCGTTGACGGCTTACTTTTGGGAAAGGAATTCTGGGAAAGCACCATTTATACTTTCAGGTATGACAGTAGTTTTTTTTATACATTTACACATAGTTAAACATAATAATAATAGTTCATGAACAATATCATCATTAATATAACATGATAGAAACTAAATTATTAAAATATTTGTAAACCAAAAAAATATTATATTATTATTAATTTATCGTTTAAAAGTCTGCTTAATTTTTTTTTAAGTACAAAAAGAGACGCTAAGTTAATAATACCTTAAAAATTACATTCTATTATATTTTCATAATATAGATAGATATTTATTTTAAAAAAAGTAATACATATATTAAATGAATTAAATAATATTTTCTTCTTTATAACTATAAGTACTAGTTACCGCGAGCGTTTTCTTTTTGGGAAAATACTCGCATCCTCTGAACAATTTTCTGTACTTCCTTCAGATCATTACTTGATTTTTGAAAAAAAATTGTGATTATTGATTAGTTGCTTTTATTAAAAAAATCTTTATAAATCTCCATATATGTTCTAAGCACATGTGAAGTTCACTTTTGAATTTCATGATTTTTTCACTTCGCGGATTTTTATTTAAGAAATATGAATCTAACTGTTTGGCTAACCCTAATACTTTTTATAGCTTGGTAGTGTAAAGTTTTTACCTTTTTTATTTTCACCTTTGCCATCATGTAAATTACCTAGGATAACTCTGATATAATTTCTACCGAACCAGATTCACCAATTTCTTTTCTTACTTGTACTTTGAAACCTGTTGCAAGTTTTCGTTATTAGAAGTGCGCGTACAATTGGCAATTTTTTTCTGCATAGACGTAGTCTTGTCGTCATTAAAAACCCGGTATGCTGAACATTCTCCAATATATTTCTTAAATTTTATTGGATAATTTTGGAATTGTTTATCGGCTGATGTTCTCTTATCTTCTATTTTTACGATTTTTAGTGACAAGTATTTTCTCATATGATCAAACCACCCTTTGCTTGCTGAAAAAATCTGAATTAGTAGCAATTTCTCCATTTTTTTAAATGATCGTGAATTTGCAATGCTTTTGGAATCCGCTTTTTTAAACACTCTTCAATCCAGATGTTAAGGGCTTTTTCCATATGCTTTATTATTGTTGTCCTAGGAGGAGAAGTATTTAATTAAGGAGAATGAACTGCCTGCAGCAACCGAATCTCTAATTTTCTGCTTATTTTTCTTTATAGTCCTTATTGACGATTCATTTAAATCCAATGATTTGGCAACGTGTGAGATCTTTTTGCTCTTTTTGAGCCGATCTAACATTTCCAATTTTGTTTTCATGGAAATGATATGTCTTTTAAGAGCTTTTTTATTTTCACCAGACTTAGTATATATAATACAATTATTATTATAAAATTATTAATACTAAATTATTTATAAAAATATAAATATAGTATTAATATTTAAAAAAAATCACTTTTAGTACTACTTACCTGAAAATGTTTAATATGCGAATATAAGATAGACACAATTAAATTCTTAAAGTATCTATGTACACTCGTTTACGAAAATTCTGCCATAGAATCTGAAAGTACGTTGCACGCATGCATGAAAAATTTCAAAACAATAAATATTTCGTGCATAAAATCTTCTTTTATCAATATATCATAATCAATATTTGATAGTTTTCTGATATCATATATTATATAGTATTTCATATTAGAGTTATTAAAAACGTGCAAAAAAAAAAAGATCAGCAATTCAACATTATTTGTTACTTGAATGTTCTGAACCCGTACTAAATTATTTTTTTGTAACCAAATTGTGCAGACAATAATCATAATAATTTATCTAACATCTCTAATTGCAGTATTTTTTAGTTTCATATTATCCTTGCACTTTTTTGTGTAGATGTGAAACGTCATTCCTTGATCATATTACTTATTGTATTTTTTAGTAACTTGTAACTAATTAGGTTTTAACATTCTATTAACATTTTAAGGTAAAGTACAAGCTGGCTTGCCACCGTTTGGTCCTCCACCATTTGAAGCAAATGTTGGAAATAGAACAGTAACATTCGTTGAAATGTGCAGCGATCTAGGATCTGCCATCATAGTTGTACCTCTAGTTTGCGTATTAGCTAATGTTGCTATAGCCAAAGCATTCTGTAAGTATGACTACTAGCTTCATTATTATAAAGTATTATTAACTATCCGCGGGCTAAGTTATGATAATCGCAAAAAAATCGAAAATAATTTTTTTTATATATTTTAATAGTTTTTGAGCATTTCAGCATACGTTAAAAATGGATGCATGTGAGTGTGTGTGTGTAGTATGTATGTATGTGCGGATATAAATTATCGTCAACGATTTCGGGAACACGACTCAACCGATTTGAATAATTAAAAAAATATTCGCTTCGTATTAACGGGAAGACGTGTTGATTAGTTTTTGACAAAGTCAGGGACGTTTTATAATACAAAGGGCAAAAAGTGCCAAAAATGGTAATTCAGTTTTTAAGAGAATAGAGCGTCCGATTTGAATGATTCAATAAACATTTTACTTGTATTGACAAAATGAACAAATGATAAAATTTTTGGCAAGCAGGTACAGCGGTTTCGGAGATCCGAAAAAAATGTAAACAAAAATGCCATTTGGCGGTCAAAAATTATCATTACACATATGGACATCAAATTATTACATATGTTTTAGAGATTTTAATAATAAGTACAGATGTTGTTAGCATTTCTATGGATTCCGCACCAAGATTTATTGTTTAACCGTTCGACTACAGCGCGGCGATCACGCGCTTCGATATTTCGTCTAAAATAATAAAAAAAATAAAAATAAAATAAAAAAAAATTAAATAGATCCGAATTAAAAAAAAAATAAAAATAATTTAAATTAAAAAAACGGTACAGGAAGTTTGCGATGCGCATGGCATCGTGCCTTAAGGCAAATTGCTTAAACTTCCCGTACCGTAACGAAATGTTCGAGGAATATTAAATGTGTTTTTAAGATTATTATAAATATTGTAATATTGTCTAATATCTTTAAATACAGAGCAGAGTAAATGGCTGGACTTTGCCAAAAACTAATCACCTCTTCTCCCAACCATTACAAATATAATGTTTTTAGATCATTCAAATCGGATACTCCGTTCTCTCAAAAACTCGATTTGTATTTTCTACACTCTTTGCTCCGTATCTCCGTAACGGCTGGACCTGTCTTTGCCAAAAACTAATCAGCACATCTCCCTATCAATAGGAATCGAATGTTTTTTTAACCACTCAAATCGGTGCGCCCGAAAACGTGGACAAAAAAAATGCGGACATACAAAACACACACACACGCATCCAATTTTTCTAAGGTATGCCAAAATATTCAGAAACCTTCAAAACGTGAAGATATGCAAAAATTTTCATTTTCGATTTTCGGCCCATTACTATAACTACCCTACGGGAAGTTCATTATACTCATGGATGCGACAGATACATGCAATATGATTACTTTCGCTATTAATTAAAAAATCTTAATCACTGTTTTTTGTTTTGATATGGTGAAATAAAATAATTTAATTTGCATTTACTTTTCCAAATTACATGTGTTTTTAAGATTCATGAAATAGTTACTTATCTTCATAAAGAACATAATTATCTAATTACACTTTATTGAGAACGATATTCAGTAATTATAATCATATAATTAAAAAAATATATATGTAAATTATTTTAAATTTTGAATTAAAGTGTTATATTTAAAAAAAACTTAACTAAATATAGACTCCAAATTTTGAAAATACTGTATATAAAATTTAATTTCTATTTTTTTCAATTAAATACTTATATTAAAAATACACTAAATTTAAAAATGTTAAACATAATTTGCAGCTGTCGGATGCTCTGTAGATGCTTCGCAAGAAATGTTCACTCTAGGAATATGTAATATATTTGGCAGTTTCGTGAAGTCGATCCCAACTTGTGGTGCTTTCACCAGATCAGCAGTCAGCAATGCAAGTGGTGTTCGCTCTCCAATGGCAGGCTTGTACTCAGGTGAAAATTGAAATAATAATATCTTCACAAATTGTAAAATGATCAATTTATTAGGATATAGTTTGATAAGAAATATTAATATTATTATTTTAGGTACTATGACGCTTTTAGCGTTAAGTTTTCTCACTCCATACTTTTACTATATTCCGAGAGCAACTCTTTCATCAGTGTTGATATGTGCTGTTATGTTCATGGTAAATATAATTTCATTGCGATTATTGATATTAGATTCATATTTTAGTTATCCATTATGACAGCTATCTAAAAAAACTTAATTTACTACTATATTTAGCTGGTGATTGCAGCGAAACGGTTTATTATGATATAAAAACTCTTGAACACAAACTAGTTGAAAGTGGCATTAGCCTTAAGGCAAGTTGCATAAACTCCCCGAAATGTGTAAGAATTGACTTAGTCAATCGAAATTGAAATTCAGATATTTAGATAAAATTTACAACTGTTTATTTTAAAAATGAAGTTACCGCTTTCAATTAAATCTAAACATTGCGATTTCGAATGTTAAATTAACTGTAATTATATTAATTATATGGCACAAACACGTGCTTGTATGCTCTAAACTTGTAGCTCATTATTTTACACTGAATGAATTGATAATGTTTGACTCATCAGATCACAAAAGCAACTTTTTACACAAATTTTGTCTATAATATTTACTCAAACTTTGATGACTTTTTAACATTAAACTATTTGTCGTAGGGCCGTAACATTTTAGTATGCTTTATAAGACCATGATATCTATTGCCAAAAAAAGTTTCATAAAAATTGGCGACATTTTTTTTCAACAGTTAATTTCAAGAAAACAGCTCGGTAGATTTTTACCTAAAACTTATTAGTATCATTCCCAACCAATATCTTTCAAACAATTTTTGATTCTTTAAAATCGATTCAGAATTGAGAGCTAAAACGTCGACGAAAAATTTTACACTTTTCTGCTATTTACAAAGAAACGGTTCAGCCGGTCGTCGCACGAAACTGAGAAAAGATAATCCACAACAAAATACATAGATTGTTTTTTAAATTTTTAAAATCGGTTCATGCGTTTTTGAGCAAATGTCGATGAAAGTTTTAATTTTGACAAACGCCAACAAAACAATACTAATTTTTGCAAACTTTGACGAATTCTTAAAATTAAACCACTTGCTGTAAGGCCGTAATATTTTAGTATGATCTATAAGACTATAGTATCTACCGTCAAAAAATTCATAAAAATTGTCGAAAAAAAAATTTTTAGCACTTTATTACAAGAAAACGGCCCGGCCGATCTTTACCAAAAACTAATCGGCACGATTCCCAACCAATATCTTTCGAACGGTTCTTGAAAATCAAAATTGATTCTGAATTGCGGGCTAAAGCATGGACATTTTTTTTTTCATTTTTCTGCTATTTACAAAGAAACGGCTTGGCTGATCGTCGCACAAAATTGATAAATGCTAGTCCTCGTTTTTAAGTTTTTAAAAGTCTCTTTCGAGAAGTTAATAATATTAGCCACTTAAGTCGTTATTATAAAGTTTCATATTTTTCCAAGCTTCAATTTTATCTACGATGTTAAATTTTTCGTCGATTTGTACTTTAGTATGTGCAGTAATTAACAAAGGAAATAAATAATAATGTTTAGAATTACATCAATAATAAAATTAAGTTGTGTAATAGGTCAAATGGTCGAACTACAATACTTAGATACTACAATACTTGCTTGACGACCTGTGTACAAGGGTCACCTATTGTGTGTCTAAATTTGATTCAAATTTATCAATCGGGGTTAGACTATTGAGAATTCTAATTTTTATTGTGATTTTTGGTTTTTAGAAGTTTAGTTCTTAATTTTTAAATGATTTTTTATTGTTGATAATTGGAAAATCTTAAAATATTATGTGTAACAAATACTTGAGCGGCTTGCTGGCTTGTACAGTGCTGTCTCTTCTGCGGAAAACACACTCTGGGGGGGCGTCCATTAATCACATGACGTGGGGGAGGGAGAGGTATAGTAAGATATCACGTGTATTTATTTTTTAACTAATTTTTAAACAAAAGTTCAAACATTTTCGAAAAAAATCAAAAATTTTACAATGTTTTCTCGTAACTAAAATTACACGTCATCTTTGGTGGGGGAGGCGGGGGGTTAATTTTGAATATCAACATGTATCACCAACAGGGAGGGGAGGTCCAAAAATCCTTAAAAACTGGCTCACGTGATTAATGGACGCCCTTTTCTCGTAGAGTTAATTATTATGATAGCTGTATTTTATGTGTATATTAATATCTCTCCAAAGTATCATTCAGTTTTAATAAATAATTTATAACTTATCGAATGTCTATCTATATTTATTAGATTCTTATTTGCAGTTTGATTGGCAAATAGTGATGCCAATGTGGCGGACTAATAAATTGGACGTGTTATTTATGGGGTGTACATTTGCTGCATCTTTATATAAAGGAGTAGAATTTGGCTTAAGTGTTGGTGTAATTCTGACTTTATGTCCTTTGCTCTATTTGTGGGCAAGGCCCGAAATTAATCACATATCTAAGGTGAATATTAATGCTTCGTAAATGCGCTAAATCATTTAATAAATATAATTTTATAAAAGATTTAGACAAATGCATTTTGTCAACGCATCTGATATATTGTTTTTATAATTATATTATAAATATAACTAATTGATTAATCAAAATGTTGTTTTCTTCAAGTGGACACCCGAAGGTCTTGAATATCGCGTGTTATGCCCAGACACAGGTCTTTACTTTCCTTCGGTTGACTTTTTGAAAGGAGAATTGACCAAAGTTTCTTTAAATTTTTCGGGTCCGCTGATTTTAGACTGCTCAAAAATGCATGGAATGGATTACAGTGCTGCAAAGGTAAAATAATTAAAAGTTTTAAATTAAAATTAGTAGAAATAATGAGAGCTTTGCAATAATTCTAGGGAATAGAATCTCTAAAAGACTTATATGCAAGAAAAGATCAAATTTTAGTGTTTTTACACCTGAACGAACGAGCTCTTAAAACGTTGAAGACTATTAGAGGAACGCTACAATATTGCAGTTCAGAAGAAGAATTGTTAGAAAAGCTTACTCTCCTTTCTAATTCAAAAGATAAAAGCGACAAAAAATATTTTGGTGATACAAAATATACAACAAACAATGAAAAATGTGTAAAACAAGATGAAATAAGTGAAGAAGATAAATTAGTTGAAAATTATACTAATAATAATTCAGTACAAAGTCATTATAGTAATTAATACATTATATTATTAGCGCATAACTATTTACAATAAATTATATTCATTATTCGAATAGTTTTGAATAAAATATAACGTAATAGTTGAACTAATTAGATGTGGTCTCTCATATCAGAATCATAATACATTTACGTTATTTGAAAAAACCTAAATCTACTAATATCTATCAACAAAAATTAAAGATTTTAACTTAGAGCTTAAAATTTGTGAATCGGGTTCTAAAATTATTTTCTCTATTTTTCAAAATTGGGGAAGGTTTAATCCAAAAATAGCAATAAATATTATTTTTAATCTATCAGATAAATCTAAAGCGTCTAAAAGACAGCATCGAAATACAACGCAATTTTATGTTATACTTATTGTTATTTGTGGTGAAATTAAAAATAATATCATTATAAGGTATATTTTTTTCAAGTTATTATTAATAAGCATCATTTTTAGATTTAGAATTTAGATAAATTGTTATAATTTTTAACAATTTCCGAAAGAATGCGATAGCTTTCATTTCCAAAATGTTTAAACTACTTATGAAACTTAAAAGAATTTTTTTTAAAGGACGGAAACTTTTTAGTTCTGAAAACAACAATCATTTCAACTATTATTTTCAGCTTCCCATAGGGTAAGTTATAGTAATCGGTCGAAAATCGAAAATGAAAATATTTGCATATCTTCACGTTTCAGCACTTTCTGAATTTTGCCATACCCCAGAGAAAATGTGTGTGTGTGCTTTGTAAGTCCGCATTTTTTCGTCGACGTTTTCGGGCGTACGGATTAACCGATTTGGATGATTAGAAAAGATTCGATTTCTATTGATAGGAAGATGTGCTGATTAGTTTTTGGCAAAGACAGGTCCAGCCATCTCGGAATTACCGAGCAAAGAGTGCAGACAATAGAAATCAAGTTTTTGAGAGAACGGAGGATCCTATTTGAATGATCGAAAAAACATTCATTTTGTAATTATGTGAAAAATTGGTGATTAGTTTTTGGCGAAGGCAGGTCCAGCAATTTTGGACATACAGAGTTAAATGGGCAAAAAATGGCTGTTCTGAGGAAATTAAGCTTTTTTTTCAAAATTTTTTCAAATTAAGCTCTTTATTGTATATCGAAAATAATTCAGATTTTAATTTTAATACTGGCTACAGTTCTAAAGCTCACTTATATACTTTAAATAAATGATTTTAATTTTGTAATTCAGTTTAAATAATTCTTATAAATATTAGAAAATGTTACAGTATTTATTTGAAATCATTTAATATTCCTCGAACATTTCTTTAAGGTACGGTAAGTTTCAGTTATTTACCTTAAAGCACGGTGCTATACACCACTAGTTTCATTTTGATTGGAATGTTCAGAAATAAATGCCCCACGTGACGTGATCGTAGTGCACATTGAAACCATTTACATTAAACAAAATTAATCCAGTAGAAAAATTGTGCTCGACTTTTACACATTTCCATATTTTGTTAGTTTAGATCGAAATTCAAGTGACTGAAACAATCTTATTAGTGAAAGAGTATTTAATTTTGCCATAGTAACGCAAAACGTAAACAAAGAATTAGTTATGTAGTGTCAACATCATGCTCGCTGGGAATCATCATATGGTCAACAATATTTAAAATATATTAAAATATTTAATGTTATAAAATGTTAAATTTGTTAACATAATCTGATAATTATATACAATGGATTCACGACAAATGTCGCCTTGCAATCAAAAACCTAAATCTGAAACAACTTTACCGGAAAAGTTGCCTCTGTGGCTAAAAGATGAGTCAGAGTAAGTGAATCTCATCTCTTTTAAATTAATCTTATATATAATATGTGATTTTTTATTACTTAAAATAATTGTTACATATAGGTGACAATAGCGTAGCGCCAGTCATAATCTAAAAATATTACAATAATCAAAAAAATATACAATAAAATATAATTTAAAATATATAAAAATGAATACAAATAAATTGAATTTAAATATAAAATATAGATGTGTTGTATCATATGATTTATATAGAAGTAATTTTTGCAAAATTATAGTCTCGGTTAGTCGGTTACTAACCGAGAATATAATTTTGCGGAAAATAATATAGAGCAATAAACGGCTTATAAAAAATAACTTACCATTCATTAACATTTTGAATCAGATGTTTTCCACAAAAATCCAACTCGCGTTTTTAATCTTTTCTTGGTGGTCCAGGCGATTCTGTACAGTTTCGCAAAACTCGGAAAAAGTATTTGAACGCATTTTCTCAAAAATCGGCATGACTAATTCAAAAATTCTAAAACTGCGGACTAATAAACTTAATAATTCAAATTAAAACTTAATAATTTGATAGAAACTGTTAATAATTAAATTTTATTTAAATGTTTAAAATCTATTGTTTTTTTTTTATCTGAATTGATGTCTTGTTGGGATGGAACTTTCTGAACTTTTAAATTTTATTTTTGCTTTATTATTTTGAGTCGATTTTTTATGTCCAGTAGTTCATCGACCCGGTTTCATGTTTCTATTATTAGATCATCGAATACATCATCTCCCTCGTGGTCAAATATCCACTCGAGGATATATATATGATTCTATTACTTTATTTACAAATAAAATTCATAATTATTTTTTTTTTTTACATATGTGAATTACAATCTTTCGTTATAAACAACATTCAGTAGATTTAATGGTTTATTAAATAAGGAAAAAACGTTGAATGGTCAACCAGTGGTGATCCGATTCGATGTTGGATATGTTTAGCTTATAGATGTAGTCCGGATGTGAAAATATTTAATTAAGCCTACGAGTAATTGTACATATTATAGGATTAGTAAAGAATATCAAAAAGGGGCCGTTTTCTTCTGAGCCGTTCAATGCCGTGGTTTTTTATCAAGTTTTTGGCCATGATATTTGGGTGATTCTGACATTCATAATTATTTCTTGTTCAAAATTAACACCGATCGTCTCAGAAATCTAACTACCAAATTAAATGTTATAATTCAAAATTGGCATACACAGAAAAAAGATAATTATTTAAATAAAATCTTTTAGAAGAACAATTTCCGGACGATTGCTTAATACAATTATATAATAAAAAGGCATATTGATGTTTTAGCGTATAAACATTAGTAGCTATTTTGATAACTACACAGATAAAGATAGTTTAAAAATATTGCTGCGCATGTATCAATTATGTATTTTAAAATAAATAACGTCATTATGATTCTCGATATTTTATCGAATGTACATATGAATTTTGTCTATTGTATTATAAACATAAACTTTTTTGGAAAGCTAATAATGGTGATTTTTATTTTTGCTTATACGATGTTTATATGGCAATATCATCTTATAGTGCATAAACTAATACCTAAGTTATAGTAATGGGCCAAAAATCGAAAATAAAATTTTTTGCATATTTTTACGTTTCGGAGCTTTCTGAACATTCTGGCATACCTCAGAAAAAATGGATTTGTGTGTGTGAACAATTTTTCGTCGACGATTTCGTGCGTACGAATTATCCAATTTGAATGATTCATAAAACATTCGATTCCTATTTATGAGAAGATGTTGTGATTAATTTTTTTCGAAGATATATGGAGCAAAATGAACCGATTTGAATGATCCAAAAAACATTCGATTCGTAATGATGGGAAAAAGTGGTGTTTAGATTTAGTTTATAGAGCTAAAGGGGCAAATATGGCAGTTTTTGAGAGAACTAAGCATCCGATTTGAATCATTTAACAAACTTTCTGCTTGTGTTAACGCAATGGTTGCTTTTAGGGAAACATTTTTTTTAATTTTTAATATACTTTTTCTGAATATCGAAAAATAATTCGGATTTTAATACTAATTTCTTTTTAGCAGTGAACATAAAAAATCTTCACTTTCAAACTTATTCGGGAGCGATGCTTATGAACTCACACATTTGCCAAAAACTCATTTAGTCCAAAATAGTTATAATGACAATGCCGAAGGATTTATCAAAGTAAAAAAAGGGTAAATATAACTAATATCGCAAACAGTAATTTTAAGTACTTTTGTAACTTTATATACTTGCAACTTATTATTGTCGAAAAAAATCGCAGACTACGTCATGAAATCAGACATGGTAGAAGAGCTTCACAAGGAACCTTACGAAGTATCAGCAAAGATAGATCAAAACCATTAAGTAGATCAGCGGATTACGCAACCAGAAAAAATAATGGTATGTATTTAATTAATTTATTTTTATGCATATCACTAAATACAAAGTTTCATTGATTGATTGATTGATTTTTGATCTTATTTCCATACTAATAGAAAAATTTGAACAATAAATTCGAGATTGACGAAAGGTCAATTTAGTAAGTTCAAGAGTGTTTATAATCACATCATTAAGCCTGGAGGAGATAAAAAATTTTAGTTGTTAAGTAAAAGTTTTTTTTATAACAATACATTTAATTTTTAAGTCTAAAATTAAACAAACTTAGTGATGTAATTTAAAATAATTAATTATCAGAATTCACGTTTTTCCTGCCAAGATATTATTAAATGAGTTCAACTTGAATGAAATTATATATTATATATTTATACATTTATAAACTTATAAAATTTTTGATTTTATGATTTATTTGTAAACTTTAATGAACTGTTAAAATTTATGACCTCGAAATTATGTTACTGCCAAGATACAAAGCTAAGAGTATTTTATTAGTTGTAACATATTAGGAAAAAAATTAGACTGTTGCATGCTATGATTTGAATACTTATTTCTTATACTTCATTTTCAGCTTATGTAATTATGTTGAATATATAGTTTATATATTCATAGTTGAAAATTATACTTTTGGTTAAGTAGCAAAAAACTATATACATTTTTTTACTAGATTTGATGAACCAAGAACGCGAAAAACAATTAGAGGAATCGTGGACGAGTTTATCTTTTTTTAATCAGACTCAACGTGGAAGATTATCAGCTAAAAATACGCCAGAGTTAGAAAATTCTGCAAGTAGCTGTTTTGATTTATATGGAACTTCAGAAAATGAATCAGGTTTATCGATAACTGACCAGATGCAACGACTGCACGTAAGTAAAATAG